TTTGTTCACTGTATACCTTGTAAACTGGAAGTTATACTTTATTTTTTCAATTTTTCCCAATTCAAATCCAACTAATTAACATATAGTGTATCACCCAGTTACTCCATTCCCCCATCCCCTCTCCTCTGGCAACCCTCAGTTTGTTTCCTATGATTAAAAGTCTCTTATGGTTTGTCTCCCTCTCTGATTTCATCTTGTTGTATTTTTCCCTCCCTTCCCCTATGATCCTCTGTTTTATTTCTTAAATTCCAAATAGGAGTGAGATCATATGGTAGTTGTCTTTCTCTGATTGACTTATTTCACTCAGCATAATATCCTCTAGTTCTATCCACGCTGTTGCAAATGGCAAGATTTCATGTTTTTGACGGCTAATATTCCATTGTATGTATATACCACATCTTTATCCATCTGTTGGATATCTGGCCTCTTTCCATAATTTGGTTAAGAGTCCTTTTGACTTGCAACACTGTTTTCCTAAAATCCTATAGTTACCAGTAGTAAAATGAAACAAAACAAAACAACATACAGCTAACTCACTTACCCATGACAATAAAAGCAAGCTTGCATAGTTAATACTAATAACAATGAACACTTACATGGCCCTGCTCTGAATTTGGCTGATCTGATTTTCAATTTCTCATTCTCCCTGCCCATCACTTTATAAAACAAGGCAGAAACCCCTGTGTGCCCCTCCTAAGCAAGCCTATGCCTGAGCAAGAGGAGTGGTGTGGGTGTGGACAACTAGAAGATGACAGAGCGGGTGACAGATTGGGTGAGTGGCTTCTCCAGGTGAAGAGTAAAGACTGCCCACCCCCCACAGTGGGACCCTTGAAATTAGAGTGAGCAGGGTCACAAGGTCTGTTGCTAACTGAACACGGACTAAGAAATTACAATTCATTGACTGAAGACCTCTGGTACTGGCATCTAAAGAGGAGTGAGAAAAATAAAGTAGCAGGTGTAGGAAGAAGAAAAATTCAAGAACCCGAATTTGTTCATTCGATGAATGAACTTCACCTGAACGCTTCATCTGTATATTAAAGAGCACTTAGCACTTGCAAACACTCAGTACAAAGTGGTTAAGTATTGTATACAAAATGGGCCTGACTCAAGAGCTGTCGCAGCAAGTAAGTGAAAGAGTCAGGGAAGAATGGGTAGGCAGGTAGCATATTGGAACTGAGTGTCAAAGGATAAGCAAGAGCCTGAACAGTCTGGGTGATGCAACTAGAGAATTACTCTCTCTGAGACCGATCACAAATTTTGAAGACAAATCACTCGAGGGGTGTACAGGTGACAGAATTAAAATGAGAGGGATCACTTCATAAGGGTTCATAGAAAGGAATGAGTGCTTACTTTCTCTGGTAGCTGCTAGAGATGTGCTCCGGGTTGGAAACGTACATTTTCCTTTGCTGAGCTGTGGGTCTCTCTGAAGTAACAGTCCACAAGGATGGCACATGGCACCCTTGACGCACAGCCACAGAAGGGAGATGGCTCTGGGTCACAGAGCCACCCACACTGCCCCACGTGTATGGTGTCCCCTTCAACGGGAAGACCAAAGACTGGTGTCTTGAGCCAAATTCGGTGTCATCAGGGACAAGGACTCTGATTCCTTCATATCAATCAATACCACTACATATCCTGATACTAGAATTGTTGGATGCACCAGACACAAGAAGTCTATTTGATCTCATGGTCCCTTCTAACTCTACACTTAAGTTTTTATCTCTTTTATGGCCCATGTTTTCAAACAACAGATTTTTAGGAAACTGGTGAAAGACTTTTAATCTGCAAAAACAGTCTACATTTCAGAAAGATTTCCATTAAAAAGCAGTTAAAGTTAATGTCCTGGTGTTTAATAAGTTTTAACTTTCAATTTTCTAGAACTTTCATTTATATAAAACCCTTACTGTGCCAATCTCCACAGGCCAAATAACAACAGTGTATCGTGGTGATGCCTTCTGTTAATTTCTACCACAGCAAGGACACATTAAATTGAAGTAAACAATTAGGAAGATAATCTGAAAAAATAAGCCTTTCTATCCAATTAAATGAAGCAACACCTCAATAGGTCAGAAAACAACACTGGTAATCTTTTTTTTAAGATTATTTATTCATTTATGGGGGGGGGAGGAGACTTCCTGCTGAGCAGGGAGCCCAATGTGGGGCTTGATCCCAGGACCGTGAGATCATGACTTAAGCCAAAGGCAGAAGCTGCTTAACCAACTGAGCCACCCAGGTGCCCAGTGATCCTTATGTTACACTAACCTCCCTTTGCTTATTGGTGGTACTAGTGTAAGAAGTTAGTGATAAAATTACAGATGAGGGGTGCCTGGGTGGCTCAGTCAGTTATGTGTCTGATTCTTGGTTTCAGCTCAGGTCATGATCTCAGGGTCATCAGATTGAGCCCCACATCAGGCTCCACACTTAGTGGGGAGTCTGCTTGAGATTCTCTCTCTCTTCCTCTCCCTCTCCCTCTGCCCCTCCCCCATTCTCTCTCTTAATAAATCTTTTTTTAAAAAGTTACAGATGAGTATAGTTAGTAATATATTTTCAGAGAGACTAGACACCTTTCCTAGACTTATGCAGAATCTTTTTCTCAACAGACACATACTTGGAGATAGTCACAGACATTGTAGTATGAAAATAATAAAGCTACTTTTGGGATTGCTCTTTAGAAACATTCTTTTTTTTTAATATATTTTTTTATTTACTTATGATAGTCACAGAGAGAGAGAGAGAGAGGCAGGGACACAGGCAGAGGGAGAAGCAGGCTCCACACACCGGGAGCCCGATGTGGGACTCGATCCTGGGTCTCCAGGATCGCGCCCCGGGCCAAAGACAGGCGCCAAACCGCTGCGCCACCCAGGGATCCCTAGAAACATTCTTGAATTAAGTTATGACCTGTTATTTATTTTTTAAGAAAACATGAGGTGGTGGGTACCTGGATGGCTCAGTTGGTTAATATCTGACTCTTGATTTTGGCTTGGGTCATGATCTTAGGGTCCTGGGATCAAGCCCTGCATCGGGCTCCATACTCAGTGGGTAATATACTTGAGGACTATCTCTCTCCCTCTTCCCCTGTGTGTGTGCTCTCTCTCTCTCTCTCACTCTCTCTCTCTCAAATAAGTAAATAAATAAATATTTAAAAAACAGGGTTGGGGGATGTCTCGCTGACTCAAAGACCATGTGACTCTTGATCTTGGGGTCATGAGTTTGAGCCCCATGTTGGGTGTAGAGATTACTTAAAAAAATAAATAAATAAACTTAAAAAAAACTGAATAGCAAAAACAAAGAAATCTCTGCCTGAGCCAGATGTGGCTAGAGACCAACATGATTAGCAGATGCTGTGGTCAGTGCTTTACATGTGTTAGTTCATTTAATGTTCTCAATAGTCCTGGGACATAGGTATCATTATTCCTACTTCATGAAGGAGGAAATCGACATGGAGGAGACAAAGTGTGCCCAGGCCACCTGGTCAGTGAGAGGCAGGGCTCAGACTTCCACCTACAACTCCACATCCCACACTCTTTTTCCAAAACCAGGGTACTTCAACCAGCCATGTCTATGATACCAGTTTATTTAGTGTTTGAGCTACATTATCGGGGTAAGAGAGGTCAATGGCTTTTGGGACAGCAATAGTTTCAGAATCACACAACTGTCTAGGGCTGGGCCATCCAATAGGGTAGCTACCAGGCACATGCAGCTATTAAAATTTATATTACTGATCATAAAATAAGATTTTCAAGTCAGTTCTTCAGTTGCACTACCACTCATTTCGAGAACTCAGTAACCACATGTGGCTACTGGCTACCTGACTCTGGGCATGGAACAGAGCACATTTCTATCATTGCACTGATCTAGAGGACTCCTATGAGGCATGGCACAATTGTGTGGTGGAGGGAATCTTAGTATCTTTAAAAAATCATTACTATCCAGAGTGTTAGAGGGCATCATAAACATTGAGAAGACTTTTCCACCTCCACTACTGGGACAGCACCAACTCTTTCTCCATAAGTTCCTTGCCTACAATGTCCTCTTAATGGCTGACACCAGATGGAAGAAATAGCTTTAACTACCTGATGTGAACTGATTTAATTATAGGTTCCAACTGGGAGAAGGGAGGTTCTTTTGTTTGTTCGTTCTTGAGCTGCAGAGCAGGGTGGGGGGCATATAATAATTCCACCTTTTTTTAAAAAAAGATTTAATTTATTTATTCATGAGAGACACACAGAGAGAGGCAGAGACATAGGCAGAGGGAGAAATAGGCTCCCCATGGGGAGCCCAATGCAGGACTCGATCCCAGGACCCTGGGACCACTCCTTGAGCCAAAGGCAGACGCTCAACCACTGAGCCACTCAGGCGTCCCAATAATTCCACTTTTAAGAATTGGTTCCACTAACACTCGGGAAAGTACAAGGTAAGAGATTAATGAATAGGAACCAGGTCACAGTGTGCTGTCATGCAGGAACGCTGAACAAAAAGGAGTTTACAAAGGACATTACATTCGCTGCAGGTACTGGCATGCATTTCCACTAAGAAAATTTTTTATAAAATGATATTGTTTCCTAAATGAAGGCAAAAAGTACAACACCAAGGAAGAGGGCAGTTAAAGTGTAAAAATTATGGCCAAAGTAGACATTCTAAAATGAAAGACAGGTGTGCCTGGGTGGCTCAGTCAGTTATGCATCTGCCTTTGGTTTGGGTCATGATCCCGGGGTCCTCAGACCAAGTCCTGCGTCAGGCTGCCTGCCCAGTGGGGAGTTTGCTTTTCCCTCTTCCTCTGCCTCTCCCTCCCACTCATGCTCTCCCTCTCTCTCAAATAAATAAAATCTTAATAATAATACAAGCAAAAGGGAAATGCACACCCTTCTTAGAAAAGCCATCTGTTAGATCACTTCCTGGTACCTCTACAGTCTCCCTACTGCAACCAAAGTTAATGGTTGCTCTGAATGTTTGGAGATTTTTTTTTTGGAGATTTAAATAATGGAATAGCACGATGATACCTGGGTCAGTGGCCGAGATAATTGCTCCAAAAAAGAGACAATCTGTGTAGTAAAATTTATCCGAGAGCTGTCCCACAATCTTCATGAGCTTCACCACGCCATACATAAGATTTCTGTAAGAAGGGAAGGTAAACTATGTCAGAAGGGGAAATGAAAACCCTCCTAACTGAGTAACCTGACTAATGTGCAAGCAAAGTAGCACTAGCATACGATACCTCGAGGGTGGCTTATAAAAACCTTAGGTGGCTGTTGTGGTTGGACACTCACCAGGAACACATGCAAATAAGACTTTGGCACCAAGTAATAGTTTGCAGTGGACATCATCTTGCTGAAACATCTCAACACTATTCCATTCCTTAAAGCTGTGCTTGCTGACAACTATTAAGTATGGTCCTCGATTAGCAACAACTTTAAGGCACCCAAAGCAGCTGGGTAATAGAGGAGAAAGAAAGGGAAAGAATGCTTTATAGTGTGTAATCAATTGCTACAAAACTGACAGGATCCTCAGGCAGTGTGTTTAAAGTTGTAGAAATGAGTGCGCTGGATGAGCTGGAGAGAGAGAGAGAGAGAAAAAAAAAAAGGATGGGTAGGCCCCAAAGGTGCAGGTGACCAATCTTCTCTGCCAAGAATTATTTCAAAAAAGGGAACAGAAGCAAAACTCTCTAAACATCCTAGTAAAATATCAGGGTACTCCAGCGACATATTTGGCTTCTCATTCTCTACATGGGTTAGGGCAGGCCAGGGGCAGCCCTTCTGATGCTTCTTATGCTGCATAGGATGTGGCACAGTCCAAGACAGACTACCAAGTTAAATATTTTGACGTGGCCGGAGCACGTTTCCTACAGGACAACTTACAAAATGGGAGGAGTGAGGCCTAGTACGTGTTACTAAAGGGTGTGTGTGTGTGTGTGTGTGTGTCAGCAGCAGCTGTAGGGGTTAGGAGAATAAAAATAACCACAGAATAGACTCATTGTACCCCACAGCTAACACTCTAATAATAATATTCTTGCTGGTAGGGACCATGCCATGGCTTACATTTGTATCCCGGGCACCTAGGATGACAGATTTACTAAGCTAGGAGCTCAAGAATTATTTGCAGAATTGAATCCTTTGGAGAATATGTAGCTATAACTTAATGCTTCCTTACTGTGTGCCGGGCACTGTTCCAAACAGTTCAATTTTGATTCCCAGTAACTCTGTGAGACAGAGGTGATTTGCCTTTTGTTGCCTGTTGGAGGCTTCTTTTACCATCCTTTCAGACATTTCCTGAAACTACACCTGTCTCTCCATTTCCACCTACCACAAACAGACTCGGACGCTGGGCTTCTCCCTGACAGCCTTTCCCCATCTTGCCACCAATGCCAATCATCTAACCTGGTACTCTTTGGTGGTCTGTCTCTCTTAAAGGATGAAGTCCAAGCTCCTACTATTTTGGTGACACAAAAGGCCCTTGCCTTTTTATCCCTTCCAGCTTTTTAGCTAATTTTTTTTCGACTTTTTAGCTAATTTTTAAAAAGTAATGAAGGTCCATGCTTTATTCCAATCTCCTTAGCTTTTATCTAATGTCCCTTTTCTGTTCCAGGATCCTATCTGAAATACCACACAACACCTCGACATCATGTCTCTTTAGTCTCCTCTGGGCTGTGACAATCTCTCCGACTCTGTGTGTTTTTGATGTCCTTGTCAGTTTTGAGGAGTGTTAGTCAGGTACTTTGTAGAAACTCCCTCCATGAGGACACGTCTGATTTTTTTCTCACAATTACACTGAGGTAATGTGTTTTGGGGAGGGAAAGTGCCACTCTCATCACAAACATCAAGGGTGCAGAGGTATCAGTGTGATTTGCCACTATGGCTGCTGATCTGGATCATCTGGCTGAGCTGGTGTTTGTCAGGTTTTCTCCGCTGTAAAGCTATGTTTTCTTCCTCCTTTTTCCCTGTTATATTCTGTGGGAGGAAGTCACTATGCATAGCCTGCAATCACAGCTGAAGGAGACACAAGCTCCTGCTCTTGTGGGGCGGGATGGGGAGGGAGGGAGTAGGTCAACATAAATTATTTGGAATTTTTCTGCACAGGAGATCTGTCACTTCTCCATTTATTTATTCATCCAATCATTTATTAACATTAGCAGAGACTCAGATGTTTACTTTATGGTTTGAGCCCTGAGTACAATGTTATTTATTTTGTTGTTCTCTGGCCATTGGCCTTAGGGGAGCTTTCAGGTTGGCTCTTTGTCTCTTTGATAAGCCCCAAGCCCTTCTGTTTCTCTGTTTTCTGGGCACTTCCTTATTTTTCGGCACTATGATACACCGTTCTTCTTCTTCTTTTTTTTTTTTTGATACACTCCGTTCTTATCTTGTGTATCTGTTGCCCCTGCCCTAGAATCAACCATTTCTGCAAGGTGGCCTGGTTCTTTTCACTGGAGAATGTGATCAGGAACCAAGATCTGGGGACTAGGTATACATTATAGTTCATTTTAATTTATCTTAATCTTAATTTAAATAGCTACACATGGCTAATAGCTACCACGCTACACAATGTAGCTCTAGAGCTTAACTGCCATCAGCATCAGCATCAAAATCCTGGACTCTGGTGGTTGTGGGGGTTTGGGGGCATGGGAAATGGGGAGATGTTGCTCAAAGGATACAAACTTACAGTTAGAAGATTAACAAGTTTGAGGATGTAAGGTGCAACATGGTGATTGTAGCTAATAATACTGTATCATATACTTGAATTTTTCTGAGAGTAGGTCTCAAATGTACTCATCTCAAGAAAAATGGTAACTATGTGACAGGATGAAGGTGGTAGCTAATCCTATGGTGGTAATGATTTTGCAACTTATGAATATATCAAATCAACACACTGTCACACTGTCCACTTGAAGTTCACACAATGTGAATATTGTGATAGCTGGGGAAAACACTGGGCTCTGCAGGACCCATGTGGATTTCACCTCTTTGGAAAATGTGTTGATTAATGACAAAGAGTAACTTACCCAATAATGAAGCAGGAAACGGCAGTCCCCAAGAAAGCATAAGCCAGAATAGACCCGAGATTTCTGAAAAAGTGTCTCTGAATAAAACAAGAGGCAGGAATCACATTGTGATTTTTTATATCAAGCATAAGAAACACAACAGAAGTCTCTTAAAAGTGAAATTTTACTTATTGATTGTATTATAACAAGAAATAACTGAAGTTACTCCTGAATAAAGCTACTTAGCTATAAACATTGAGGTTTTAAAATAACTCTAATCCCATTAATCACTGAACGAGCAAGCAAGGGCTTAGTAAATCTCAGACACAACTACTCTGATTATATTAAATTACACTGAGAGAGAGAAAGTGTACATAAGTGTGAGTGACTGTGTGTGTGTAAGTAGACCAATCATTTTCATAGATCTAACCCAAACTCTTTTACTCTTTTACTCTAGTGATCAGCTAGTCACTCCCATGTCTGGTGTACCTTAGAAGATCATTACAGATAGAAGTTTGAAACTGATAAAGTATGAAAGTGCTGTCTAAAGGGCTTTCTGCTTAATTCAGTATCAGAAAACTGTATCGTAATTATCTGCCTCATGGCATCTGAAGTGTCTCCTGATATCCTTCTGGATTGATCGTTGGAGCCTGGGAAAGAGAGCCAATAGAGATGGAAGTGGAGAAAGGAAAAATAAGTAGTTCCATTTAAGATGAGCAAATGTATAAGTTTACATATATGTATAAGAAGTGTCTAAAAAAAAAAGAAGTGTCTATACTTACACCAATGTAAGATCTAGCAATTATTCAGAAGGAGATGGCCAAACTGCAATCCTCTCAATGCTTCTGTACATTCACCGGTTACCTTAACACACACACACACAGATTTGCTTCTCATAAGTCATTAGGCCTTTGGGATACTCTGATGGGGGAAAATCCCTGTTCGTGGGACCCTAAGCCACAGTTCTTACTCTTCAAGGCATAAGCTGTTCTCATTGGACAATCAGAACTATTGAACAAAACCAAACAAAAACTCACAAACACCCTAATTCGATAAGGGCCAGGAATACTTTATATAAAAATTTAAAAGGCAGGAGAGTCCCAGTATGCCAGCTGAGCAACATCAGGGAAGGACAGGAAGGACCTAGGAAGAACTCAGCATGGATCAAGCAGCCACCAGGAAGTGTGACCACACAGAGGGCTGTGGGTGGCCTCTGACCTGTATTGTAAGCATAGGATCTGAAGCCTTGGCTTCAGCCTTTCCTAATGCTTGGCCCTCTCTGAGGCTGTGAAGAAGGTATCAAGGAATGCCTAGTGCCTTTAAGCCATTCTGCTTAAAGAAGAATCCTTTAAGGGCTTGCCACACCAACAATCACCAAATGAGGGTGCTGCCTGAATATACTGTGGACACATTATGTTTGCCTTTTAAGTCAGTCACTGTCCCCAGGCTTTTTTTTTTTTTTAAGTGAACGTATTTATATCCACCGGTGTTTTGAAAAAATTAGGTTTCAAAAAAAAATCAACAACTGTGAGCCTAATTGCTTTTTAAAAACTCAATCAAGGGCTTAAAGCAGGGAGGCCTAGGAGTCCATCAAGGTAGAGACATGAGACCAAGGAAAATCATGTGAAGTATCCAGGAACAGATTTTAATCCCAGAATTGGTTTTCCTTGCCACTCAGCTCTCCTTTTGGGTAACTATCACTATGGTTAGTTTGAATACATTTCGTAAATTCATATTCATATTTGCCAAAAAAAATCAGGAATGTAAGAGTTGTGGATTCTCCTCCTGGAAAGTTAGTTCTCATGGAATGACTGCTGATGATCTGGTAGGGCTTCTGGGGCCCCAGGGAGGAAGGGACCTTGGGGGTGTGCAGCCCAGCTCTGAGCTGACAACTGCTCTGGAGCTTGCTTGTGATAGGTGGGTCTCAGGGTCATGTGAGAGGGACCGGTTCAGACTAGAGCCTGGAGGAGCCCTTATCCGTGTGAATTCTGTGATGAATCCCAGGTCTCTGGTGCCACCCTCGAGGGCATCTAGATCTTAGGGGTGCTGGATTCAGGTTCCCAGGGTGGGGTTGAGGGGCAATTCAAAGTGTCCCCTTTGGTCCTGGGCTGGAAGAAAGTGGGAATAAGGGAGGTCCAGGACCCACGTGGAGAGGAGAGAGAGCATGTTAGTGGAAAGATGGGTTTGTGCTTCAGATTGCATTGGCAAGTAAAGCTGAATCTGAGCCCTCATCTGTGGGCTTGGGGAGAAACTGGGTCTTGTGGGTGGTCGAGGGGTCCAGATGTGGGGGGATCAGGTGTGTCCCATAGCTCCTGGGCCTGATAGGGGCAGGATGGGCCAGAAAAGCTGGGCACAGGTGCAAGGTACGTGAGGGTGCACCTCTAGCAGGACCAGCATTGTTAGGAGGCCTTCTCAGCTTCAGTCTGGTTGTGTGTGTGGCTGAGTGGCCCATGTCCAAGTGTGGCCACAAGTGTTGGCTGCACACAAAACATGCTGCTTTTAGCACTCATCCTCCACGTAGCAAGTCCCAGTGCTCAGCTGCTGGAGGAGACCCGAGCTGACAGCCTGTGTGCAGATGCCAGACTTCCATCCCCTCCATGTGGCTTCCATGCCAGACACATGTCTTCACCTGGACCAGCAGGCATCTGAAGGAGCGGCTGGCGGTCAGCACAGATGTCTGAGAACCCGACTCCACACTGCCCAGTGATTCTCTTGGGGTATGATTTGTCTCACAGATTGTCCTGGCATTCACGTAAGGTGTTTTGGGTCACAAATTTGTTTGAAAATCAACAAGAGAAAATATTTTAAATGGTCAATGATAGGTATTTGAATAATTTGTGATAATTGATTGGAGCCTTTGAAACTGTTACCTTAAATGTCTATTTGTGGATACACAAAGATACCTTTGATTCACATAAAGAAAAGCGCTTATAACACGCACACGCATACATACAAATGAGAAATATAAATCTGCCACCCCAAATACACCCATGACATATTCTAAAATCACACACACACACACACACACACACACATACACAATTACCCATTTCCACTCATATATGCTGGTATGAACTGGAATTTTATGCTTTGAAAAGAAAGGTACACTGTGCCACTTATTTGGGAATTATGACACCAAGTGCTTGACTATCTACTTCATGGTTTATACTGTACTTTCACATATAGTAGCCCATTCAATCTTTGCAGCCACCTCATCATGAAGGTGTTATGGGGACATTCGATGTCTCTCACACACAGGGCTCCCCATAACACCTTGACAGTGAGGAACAGGAGAAGGAGTAGACTCCTGTGTGTGAGCTGCTTGGAGTCACCGATCAACTGCAGTGTCAAGCCTGGAAAGCGCGTCTTCTTAGTGCAGGGCATTAGAGTCTCACTGTACAAGCCACCCTTCTCGACTCCTGCTACATCCTTGTAGGGAAGAAAGTATAGCACCTCCTAGTCCTAGTGCTAGGTGCTAGCAGAATCCTAGGTCTTTTTTTTTTTAAGATTTATTTATTTATTCATGAGAGACACAGACTGAGAGAGGCAGAGACATAGAGGGAGAAGCAAACTCCTCACAGGTAGTTCGATGCAGCACTTGATCCTGGATCCCGGGATCACAACACAAGCCGAAGGCAGCCACACAACCGCTGAGCCACCCAGGCATCCCAGAATCCTAGGTCTTTTATCTTCCTCTTATTTGGCCAGTCATGTGTAGTTCCCATAGCTATGACTGGTTCAGTACCCCCTACTTTTCCCTCTCCATTCTAGAATGGCAAAGAGAGACAAAGGAGATGGCAAAGCTCTGGTAAAGTCTTCAAGAGTTCAGGCTGAAGACTGATCAGGATGAGAAGGTGTGCTTTTGGTGAAAGTCCACCTGGCATTCCAATTTCTAGCTGTACCATTCTAAGACTTGCATTTCTACTCCTTCTCCCGTTCCTCACTGACAAATGTTAACATGAGACAGAGAGACAGAGAGAGATAAAGACTGAGAGAGATATCAAGAAAGAGCAAGTTTGGTGGGAGAAGTTCACAAAACATGAAGGCTTTCATTAGGTGAATTATTTTGCTGGTGACACACCCCATAAGCAAACTGAGCAGTAGCACAAAATCATAGCTAATTCCAATGACATTTTTTCAAGTTAGAAAAAAAAAGGCCCATGTCCGCATGACAACTCCATGTGCATAGGTCAAAGGGTCTGAATATATTTGTTTCCGTGCCCATAGTTAAGTGGTGAAATGGTTATTACACATTTAATTGACAGCAGCTTTAATCACAGATGGCAAAACCATACAAGAACCAACTATTTCAGTGCCATTATAAGGACTATTTAAAAAGGAAAGAGACTGAACTAATAGCAGATAGCTCGAGAGACTGGCATTTCAAAAACAACTTAAATTGTTAACTGGCAAAGCCTGTTATTTTTCTTCTGAGAAAATGAGGCCAACATAGGGAAGGCTCTGCAGAACCTAAAGTTGTTTTTCAGCCATTAGAATGGCTACAACCAATGATTTGCTTTCATTTTAAAGCAACCTTGATGATACATTAAGATTAGTGATTTACAACACCAAATTATTCATCACCCATTTGATCTGATAAAGACTTCCCAAATTCTTCACTTAGATAAAGAATAACATTATTTATACTCATAAAACATCTCCTATTTGCTACATGTCAATAGCTGTCATATAGATTTAGATACTTTTGCAACCCCATAAAGTAGACAAGAAAAGGATACATATTTTGGTATAGAAAACCTAAGTCCAGAGGGAAAGTAGGAGAGATAAGGATAGCTTTTTTTTAACTTTTTATTTTGGAGCAATTACAAAATCAGAGAAATTGCAAAGATAGTATAGAGGGGTCCTGTGTACCTTTGCCAAGTTTTTTCCACTGGTTATACGTTATGTAACTGTACTACAAGATCAAAACCAGGAAACTGACATTGGGACAAAGTGTGTGAATAGCTCTGTTTCATTTTATCCTATGTGTAGATTCACGTATCCACAGCTGCAATCAAGACATGAAACTGTGCCATCACCACCATGACATCCTTTACAGTCACACCCCTCTCACTCCCACCATCCCTAACCCACAGCACAGCCACTAATTTGTTCTCCATCCCTATACTTTTGTCATGCCTAGAATGCTACATAAATGAAATCATACAGTACGTGACCTTTTGAGGTTGGGTTTTTTTTTCCATTCAGCATAATGCCTTTGAGGTCCATCCAAATTGTTGTATTAATAGTTTGTTCCTTTTTTGTTGCTGAGTAATATGCCATGGTATGGATGGGTGTTTAACCATTCACCTAACTGCAAGACGTTGTTGTTGTTTCCAGCTGGGGACTATTACAAATAAAATTGCTATGAGCCATTATGTACAGGCTTTTGTGTGAACATAAGTTTTCATTTCTCTGGGAGAAATCATCGGGAATAAAATTGTGGGGTCATATGGTAACTTCAACTTCAGTCTTATAAGAAACTATAAAACTGCTTTCCAGAGTGGCCGCCCTATTTTACATTCCTACTGGCAATGTAGGAGCACTCCAGATTCTAGAACAGAGATGAATCACTTGATGATGAGACAACTATAGTCTCTGAGTGGGCGCAGCACACAGTAATAAGCAATCCGGGAGAAGGGAAAAGTTAGAAAGTTATGTAGGTACATTAACACAGCAATTCCCGTGCTTTAAGAAATACTGGCAAAAATCTCTTACCTTTTTTAAACTGTAGCCAGCATGGAAAATAATTGGAGGCAGAAGGATGTTGAAGAAGACCTCTGGATCAAATGTTACCTGAAAGTTTAAAAAGAAAAAAGTCGGGGGGAGGGCACCAGACTGACAGCATGTAACTCTTGATCTCAGGATCATGAGTTCAGGTCCCATGCTGGGCATGGAGCCTACTTGAGGGAAAGAGAGAGAGAGAGAGAAGTCAAATTCTAGTTTAATGCCAGTTGGTGTTACAATAGTTGCTTAATATTTTAAGCCATTGACTAAAGTCGGGAAGCAAATAAGGTAAGTGTGAAAAATCATGGACTCATCACAAGAGATCAGCCACAGTTTCCCCTGTGGACCAACATGTTCTTCTCTATACAGCACTCTGACTCCTGCTCTTGGTGTGTTATTTAATATATATTAAGAAATGACAATGTAATTCCAAGGACTCAGAAAGCTCCTGGCCAGTGTTTTTTAAACAAGAAATAAAAACATCTTGATTTTTATCAAGCCTTTATAAAGGCTCAACTGCAATAAAAGATGCCATCATGATTCTTTATTAAATTTCTGGATCCTCCCACAGAACTGCCTATAGACACCATTCTACTGAACTTTTTATTTATTTATTTATTTATTTATTTATTTATTTATTTATTTATTTATTTTTAAAGATTTTATTTTATTTATTCATGAGACACACACACACAGAGAGGCAGAGACACAGGCAGAGGGAGAAGCAGGCTCCATGCAGGAAGCCCGACGCGGAACTCGATCCTGGGTCTCCAGGATCACACCCCGGGATGAAGGTGGCACTAAACCGCTGAGCCACTGGGGCTGCCCTCTCCTGAACTTTTACAAAAAATTTTATTTATTTGACAGAGAGATAGAGAAAGCCAGAGAGCACAAGCAGTGGGGGGAATGGCAGAAGGAGAGAGGGGAGTAGACTTCCTGCTGAGCAGGGAGCCCAATGCGGGGCTTAATCCCAGGACCCTGTGATCATGACCAGAGCCAAAGCCAGATGTTTAACCAACTAAGCCACCCAGGCACTCCCATTCTACTGAATTTAAGTCTCTCCTGAGTGATCAGCCTTTTGTGAGACCTGATGCGGCCTAGATCAGAGTCGCCAATGATGCTAGCAGCTTTCTCAGCATCAACATGAAAATCTGGCAGCTCTAGAGGGACTGAAATGCACGTGCAGGCTTCATATAGAGAAATCACTCCAAAACTCTTCATGTTCAGTAAAGAATTAAGCAGTCAATATACTTCTCAAACTTTTTAAAGAATTTGTTCATGTTGGTAAATTGATAGGCTCTTACTAAAATTAATTTTAAAGCCTCACTCTAATTATTAAAAGTCAGGTTAGGGGGTGCCTGGGGGGCGCAGTCAGTTCAGTGTCCGACTCTTGATTTCATCTCAGGGTCATGAGATCGAGCCCTGTGTGGGGCTCCATGCTGGGTGTGAAGCCTGCTTAAAATGCTATCTCTCCCTTTCCCCCTGCCCCTTCTTCTGCTGCTGTCTCTTAAAAAAAAAAAAAAGTCAAGTTACCATTTCTCTTTAGAAACTGGAAATGTTAACCAGCCTAATTAAAAGTGAAATGATTCTCACAAATTATGCTTTATTTGATCTTCTTGCTGAAGATAGGAGTAGTGAGAAAAACAGGGAATGTCAGAATGAGAAGGGGCTTTGAATGATACTCAGTATGAGAGCGCTGAGGCCACAGTCATGCAGGAAGTAGCACGAGCGTTTCCTACCACCTACTCCAATACGGTGCATCAAGCTGCCTCGGCACATCTCTTTTCTCCTCACCTAACAACAGTGCTCTCAGCCTTGTCTGCTCTCCCACCTTTGCTTTTTGTGCAGCAAAAGTTTAAACAGAAGGGATGTGAATCAACCTTTTTCTAAAGGTAAAAGGAGCAAAAGTCAGCATCACCTTCTATAATGATCTAAAAGATGGAGATGGGTTGGGTTCCTTTTCCTTTTGTCCCCACCTTATCCACAAGAGATTCAAGCTGCCATTTCCAAACAGCTATGAGCATGGTGATTACACTGAGTATCTTTCTTGGTTGCATTTAATTTTACCAATGTTTATGGAAATCCCAGACATTCTTATGAGGGGTTGAGAACGTAAAGTTCACGAGGACTGCCTTTGAGGACACAGAAAAGATGGGCATGTTTAAAACTCCAGATTAAGAATAATTTTCCTTAAGGATTAAGGTCGATCCTAAAATCAATAATAATTTAATTTTCAGAGCACAGCCTACACCATGCCTTTGGCTGCAAGCCTTTGCACACATTAGCTTTGTTCTATACAAAAAGAGGCTCCCCAGAGCCTGGATCACCCAGAGCTTAGACAGAAGCCTTCCTGCTGATAAGCCTGGGTCTACAGAGTAAAGAGAGAATGTGTGGTTAAGTACAGATCTCTTGCTTTTCTTGGAAATCACCTGAGTGAGGAGATAAATTATCCTTCTGTCATGTACTTTAGCTATTGCCAACATCGAATGAAAAACAGCACTTGGACTCAAATTCTAAGACAAGATATTCTTCCTCCAGAGATTCATTAAGCCTTTGGCATCACTCACTAATGAGAACGGACACTCAATAAGTATTTGTACAATCTGGCAAAAGAACCAGGAAGAGCTAAGACCTACCATTTGGAATACTGAACAAACAAGCTTAAAGTGAAACCAATCTTATTTTAAGAAAGAAACAACCTCATCCCTAAACTGTAACAAGAGATGTGGTAAAGGAGAGATGGGGATGGAGAGACAAGCTGAGTGGTGTTGAACAAACCCACTGCACCACTGGCGGCCTGTGTCAGCTACTAACCCTAACAAAGCAAATGGGCTCAGGTTCACCTCCTAGCAAAACTGAGAACCAGGAATGTTATCCATGCTCCAGGATTCTAAAAGGATTTCCCTCTACAAGGGCTGAGATGGAATCAGAAAGTCGAAAATCATGTCAGGGCCACAATGGCAGAGTACTCCCCAGCTCACCTTCCTCAGCATGTCATTCTGCTCCACACTGTTGATCTTGCCAGGGCTGATTTCTCCTTTCAGGGTGTATTCGAAGAACTTCCCACTGACATTCACCAATAAGGTGCTGAAGGCCCTGTCTTCCTGGGTACAGCTGAGCGACTTGTCATGACCACTGGTGGCAGGGGTGCCATACCTCAGGATCACCCCAACGATGAGCCCTGAAACAGAGTGGGAAGGAAAAAAGACCCCCATCAGGTCTGTGGAAGGACAGAGGGAGCATGGAAATAATGACAGTCGGTCTACAATAGCTAGGAGACACAGAAGTCATCTTAGAACCCAGGTATAGTGTATTTTAGGAGCAGCTGCACGGTCCTTCCAAAGGGTTAACATCCTCTGGCCTGAGTCCCTCATCCACCAGGACGACGAGGTGGGACAGTACCTTTCCTGGTTATTATGGCACTGAGCATTTTCCCCAAGTGACCATGTCTCCTTTCTCAGGCTTCTGGTGGAGGAGGATAGAATGGTAAGAGAGGCAAAGCTTTTTCTGCCAAGGACAGCACAGAGCACAACTGCTGAGCTTTGATCCGTACAAGCAGCAGCCCTCAGGCCAGTCCTGCTGCCATCTGCCAGCCAGGACCAGGCCACAGGAATTTCTAGCTCCTAAAAATGCAATTTGCTCTGCCACCCACCAGAGAAAGGGGCGGAGGGGGGGCAGAGAAGACAAAAGAGAAAGCAAAGCAGTGCTTTTGTTTAGGTCATTTCAAGTACTGGGTATCACGGAGGAAGTAATTCTACCCCTTGGGGAGCTAAACCCCATGGTGCAAATTTTTGCTATCGCGACGCAAGGACTGTGCAGCTGTCTTCTTGGAGCTGTGGCTATGATACAGCTAAAATAATTAGCTGCAAGTCTTTAGGTCTCATTCCGTTCTTAGGTGGGGTTTCCCATTAGGGGGAAAAAAAAAACAACCTAAGCAAAGTTGTGGATAAGCATGTGGTTCCACAGTGAAGGAGTGTTGCTCCCCTGGTCCTGGACAGGAGTCCCACATGCCACAGGAAAAGTGAGCGACATATGAAGAGAACATAAATCTCCACAAGAAACTTCCTACAGTTCTCTCTTAGGGGGAAGATTTCTGACTTCTCTCTACATTCAGTTCTTTGCTAACAGTGTTAAAAGACAGAAGGGTAAAAAAAAAAAAAAAAAGAAATGCTCCCTTGTCTCATTTTGCCATTAACAGAGAGTTCCATGAGAAAGAGAAAAAAGGTTGTATGTTTACTATATTCTGTGCATAATATTCTATAATGTCTCTTATCACCAAGACATATGAGAACTCACAAGACGTTGTTGAGGAATTATATATATAAAATCTAGAAAAGTACAGTTCTTTAAGCCAGACTCAGTGTCTCTGCCACATCACCATCATTATTATTGTTATTATTAAAGATCTGCATTAACAGATACTTGTAGCAGGTTGACCTTTGTGAGAAAAATCAAATTATAAAAGATTACTAATGAAGAACAAGGTTCTTTTTTTAAAAGATTTTATCTATTCATTCATGAGACACACACACACACACACAGAGAGAGAGAGAGAGAGAGAGAGAGAGAGAGAGAGAGACACAGGCAGAGGGAGAAGCAGGCACCCTGCAGGAAGCCTGATGCAGGACTCAGTCCCAGGCCCCCAGGACCACGACCTGAGCCAAGGGCAGAGGCTCAACCACTGAGCCACTGAGGTGTCTCTAGAATGAGGTTCTTAATAATCTCAACCAGATATAAAACAGTTTTAAAACCTTTAAACGTGTAGGAGGAAAAGCCAGACTTTAAGGAAAAACACGTTGGTTGTTACAAAGAAAGAAAAAGATGATGTCTTTAGAGAAAAAAATAATAAAAACCCCATAATGTAGATCATTCTGGTCATCAGGTCATAGGGCAAAAAGCAAGCAAGCACTTGAGGTCTTCAGCATCAATCTTTTTTTCATGTCTTATTGCTGGTATTTCACATTCTTTTCTTCTTGTTGGGTGACTAACCAGGATGATGTCAGAGATGGTAAGCTAGCACTTAGTGTCTCCCTGCCCAGCCTCGGAACAGACTTTCCAGCTGTGGTCTCTTGGCCATCTTGTGGTTTACAGTTTCCTGGGTGTCTGTGCTGGTAATTGAAGTTGGGGAGGTACCTATGTTGAGGTGGTTGCTGATGGTCAGTCCCTTCTCCTTGATTTTCCCACTCCTCTCCATGGCCATCCTAGAGAATCACAGTCTCTAACCCCAATGGATAATCTGTATCCCTGGTCTACTTTGTTCTCCTGTACCTTGGTTGTTGGCAGTCTTCTCCCTTCCTACACAGGAGGGTTGGAAGACTGGTCAGCCCTCATAGGGTCTCTGTATGGAGTAAGGTGTGTACTGCTGGGCCTGGTGTCCGGGGGAGCTCTACAATCCCTCTTTCTGTTTCCCATTCTCAGCATTGTGGTTATTTTGCTGGGGAGCACATGGAGGCCCCCGCATAAAGTCTGTAATGGTTATACACTGCTCCGTATTTATTGCCTGGCACTGGAAATCTACCAGGGCCAACATTTGTTGCTTCTACACCCTTTTCTCTGTCAAGAACTTTGAACCACATAGTTTCTCTACCCCCTGCACCGGGAAGGTGCTTCCTGGAGGTTCTTCTTTATGGCAGTCTAGTGTACAAATAAATATATATCACTTGGTGTCATTCCTGTGGATGAAACCATAGCTGTTTCTTACATGCAACCATTTTTTAAAAAGATTTTATTTATTTATTCATGAGAGAGGCAGAGACATAGGCAGAGGAAAAAGCAGGTTCCATGCAGGGAGCCTGATGTGGGACTTGATCCCAGGACCCTGGGATCATGACCTGAGCCAAAGGCAGACACTCAACCACTGAGCCACCCAGGTGTCCCTACACTGAACCATTTTACTGTTCCTTAAACTTTTGTCACAAGGACTTTCTCGTCTCTGTGGGTGAGCCACTGCTCCCTCCACCATGCTCCTGAGCCACAGTGAGCAGTGGCTGCGCTGAGGAGGGGTGGCAGGAGGCTGCTGGGCCTTAGCCCTGCTGCTCAGGGTTGCGGCAATGGGGCTGGTGGCCGGGGCTGGTGGTGGCAGCCTCAGCTCCTCCATGGGTCACCAGAGTAGGGTTCTGCTCAAGGTTCTCTGGGGTTGCTCTCCACTCCAGATGGAACTTGTATTGGGTTTTTTTAATTACTATTATTTCTTCACTCCCTGGTCAGGCAGTTATTTCCTAATGAAGTTGTACATGACAAGAGAGGACTCCGTGGCACTTCAACACTCATCATGTCTACAGGATGACCTGCAGAGTCTGAAGAAGGCGACCTATCACACGATTTAACTTTGATGTCCTCATCAGGAAACCAAAGTAAGTCATTTACAGAAGACTCTCCTTCTCTCAAATCAATAGCTGCTTCCCATAACTCACTGTTTATTTATGGTATCAGCATCATTATTAGTGGAGGTAACTAAAAGGTAAACCATACTAGCACAGGGTCTTCATGATGGCTACTACTCTAATGAAAGAGGTGAGGAACTATATATTTGGCCTTTGTCCCAATTTCCTGGTACATAGCTCCTAAAACCCTTGGAATTGAGTGATTAGTGTCTGTTTGTATGCTAGTAAGATGACTGGTGGCTGGAGGCTCCTCGATAATCTTCAAGATGGGAGCTGGTTGCCAGGGGAACCAACCTTATGATTACAGAGTTGAAAACTTTTTATTTATTGTATCTTTTTTTTAATAATAGTCACACACGGGGAGAGAGAGAGAGAGAGAGAGAGAGAGAGGCAGAGACACAGGCAGAGGGAGAAGCAGGCTCCATGCACCGGGAGCCTGACGTGGGACTCGATCCCAGGTCTCCAGGATTGTGCCCCGGGCCAAAGGCAGGCGCCAAACCGCTGCTCCACCCAGGGATCCCTTATTGTATATTTTTTAATTGGAGTTTGATTTGCCAACATATAGTATAACACCCAGTGCTCATCCCGTCAAGTGTCCCCCTAGTGCCCGTCATCCAGTCACCCCATCCCCCCGCCCACCTCCCCTTCCACTACCCCTTGTTCGTTTCCCAGATTTAGGAGTCTATCATGTTTACAGAGTTGAAAACTTAAACCCTGCCCCAAACTTCCAGGGAGGGAAAGAAGCAAGAGAGTGAGTTAATCACTAATGGCCAATGATTTAATTAACCATGCCTAAGTAATGGAGTCTCCACAAAAATCCCCAAAGTATGGGGACTCAGAGAGCTTCTGGGTTGGTGGACATGGGTTGAAGGTATGGGGAGGGTGGTGTACCCAGAGAGGGCATGAAAGCTCCACACTCCTTCCTTCGTACCTTGCTCTATGTATCTCTTCCATCTGGCTGTTCCTTAGTTATATCCACTTATAATAAACCCACAATAAAACAAGTAAACTATTTTCCCAAGTTCTTTGAACCATTCTACAAATGCTGTACTTGAGGAGGTTGTCATGGGAACTTCAGATGTGTAGCTGGTCAGCCAGAAGTGCAGGTGACCACTTAGGACTTGTGATTGACATCTGACATTGGGGAAGGGGGTGTGGTGTTGTGGGACTGAGCCTTCAACCTGTGGGAGTTAATGTCATCTCCAGGTAGTGTCAGAATTGAGTTGAATCATAGGACACTCAGCCACTACCCATCAGAATTGGAGAATTGCTTGGTGTGAGAAAGTCATTACAGAAGTGTTCAGTGTTGATTATGTAAAGGGGAAACAGGTTTTTTTTCTTATAGAAGTTTATATTTGCAGACAAATTCCTCAATTATAGGAAATGCCCTCACACTCTTTCCCAGTAACCATCACCATCATACTAGAAGTGCTATTAACTGATGAATATTGTTTTTATGTACTGATAAAACACTTCCCTCCCTACCTGGGCCCAGTGTGCCCAGTGTGCCCATTTTAAAGATGAGAGATGAAGGTGATGCTGCTGCCCTCTTGTGGTAAAACATGGCAACATAAAACACCACAGCAAAGATACAAGGTCAACGCCTGCCTGATAGTTTGGGCCAAAACTATTATCAAGCAACAGGATACATTGCTAACTCAAGGTAGACTTTGAGTTACTCCTCAAACATCTTAGATTCATATTTATTACCACTGTAGTTCATGACACAAAGGAACAGAGTCATCATCATGATAGTAAGTTTGTGTTTACTGTCTTCCACTTCAAGAAAGAGTATGAT